GATTTACTTCTTAATACATTAATACAATAAATTTTCGTCAGTACTTACTGTACAATAGCCTTAACATAGATTTGAGTATGACCGATTCTCCATTACATTATACCATGTGCGAGATATCGTTTTCTTAAATTAATAATCATGATTTCCGTACACAGAAGTTAAAACTTCTAATAAAGCATTAGAATAAACATCAATTAAAACGCTATGCAATACTAAATACATGGAGAGAATTTTTTCTTAGAGTTTACTCTGAAAATATGATAGCCATGGAACAACATTATATTTCGAAGAATTTTAATGTAAATCTCTCTCATTCATTAATAAAACTACAATAAAGTATAAAATAAGTTTGATTAATTTTACCGAAGTGCATGGTAAAAATCTTTAAAATATTATATTGTATCACAACTATCATATTTTCAGGGTAAATTAAAAAAAAATTCTCTTCAAGTAAGTATACGTAAACCGTTATATAAAATGATTAATTGATTATAATTTATAGATACACATATTGAAATTAAGAGCTTAAAAGAAAAAATTAAAAATTATATCTATGTGTTGACCATGATTAGATATCTGATGTCTCTAAAAAAAAAATCATATGTCAATTAGCGACTGGACACAGACTGACGTATTTAGCGCAGTATTCTCCATTTCCACATTTTCTTACACAGATATAGTCATGTTCTATACATATATCGTTTCGATTATTGAAATATTTGCATCCCAATTTGCCCTTATACTCAACATAGTTCCGCTTTATCCTATGTATTATTATATAATCTTCATGAAATGATTCATGTTATTCTAAATCAATTCACATTTATCTTATTTGTAACTTTTGTTGGATTAGGTATGGGTGGAATGCAACTAAATTTATGAATCACCATGGGGTGACGACATTTTCACGATAGGGAGCCGAACAACGCATATAAAGATGTCATCCGCGATTCAAAGAATGCCTTTTGCTTTTTGCCGATGTCCTCTCTTGGCGAATCTACGGCAACCTTCTTTTCGGTCTTTCCTTTTTCATGGTTCACGTTTGTCACGTGCCTTTTGCTCCCTTCATTCGAATGCACCCCCACAGATTCATCCTCTTCGTTGTAACCATATTGATTATACATAGATCGTCTAAAAAGTTTTGAGCCTCAACATGAAGATGGCATTACTCATCAAAATCATTTTGATACTATAATCATACATGCTTTGGGAGAACTGTGAAAATTCTAGCTACTTTGGCTCAGTTATTATTTGACAGTTATTTGTGCCAGACGATGTTTTAGTAAAAATAAAAAAAATCGAATATCGCCAGTCGCCATGACAAAAATTTACAAATTAAGGTATTGATTGATCACTCCTTGATTCACTAGATCTAGCTCCCAACGATTTTTTCTTATTTTCTAGGCTCAAAATTTGGCTCGAAAGACAGAGATTTTCATCAAACAAAACAAAAACACAAATATCATTTACTAGCGTAAATAACTGTTAAATAACAACTGAGCGTCCAAAATAGCTACAATTTTCATTCGTGAATCAATCTTTTCGTGAATCTGAAATAAAATTTTATCTCAATCATCTATAGTGCTATATATTTAATATGTGTACTTTTGTTATACCTATCCTGTGTTTTTAAAAATACTTTTCACAGATGTTTCAAAACATATATAATTTTATTCCCAAAATGGATATTAATTAATAATGTCATTTTCATGTTGAGGCTCAAAACTTTTCAGACGATCCTCGTAGATTGATACCACATACAAACATGATTAAAAAGAAATTTATACATTTTTAGAGAAAATCTTTAAAACTGTTTTTTTTTCAAAAATAAATGAAAAAATAAATAAGTATATTTTTCAACAATTTTATCGTTTTCTAAACAATAAATAAATGCTTTTAAATTATATTTTTTCTGAATATGAATTCACAATTTACAAAATTCTAGTATAACGTACCATGTATGTATGACATATGAAGGCAATAGATATATGAATAACGAATCGTGCATTCTTTATTTATACATATATAATAATGACAATTTACTTAATTCTTAATATCAAGCGATAACTGTAATCTTTTCGTGAATCCGAAATAAAATTTTATCTCACACAATCATTTTTATCAAGTGTTATATATTTAATATGTTCGTATGTGTACTTTTTTGTTATACATATCCTATGTTTTTAAAAATACTTTTGTTATGTAACATTAAATCTTTACTATTGTCAAAAATCATTTTTATCGCGCCGGAAAGTTCGAGCAATTTTCTATTTGATTTTTGTTCATCACTTTAAAAATACATACTATGTACTTTATTATGCCATTAAATTAACATTTACGCGCACAAATGCCAATGTTATATTTAAGGCAATATTAATTTAGATGTGAGATTAATTATATATTTACTTTATATATCAAAGTTTCAAATTTATGGAATAAATATAATTGAGTAATTTTGAAATCATTTTTACACATTTTACAATAAAATTGTTTTTCGATTATTAATTATTTCATTTAATGAAGAACATATTCTGAAAACGATGTTTTGACTACATTTTAATAATGAAAGTATAAGGATAAAAATTTCGCATCAGTAAAATCAACAAATGCTTTAAAAAAATTAACATTTTTTCATACAAAAATTGGCACTTTTAAAGAATAAATAAAAATCCTAAAAATAACAATGAAAAGTGAAAATAACAATGCGTTTAAAAAGAATTCTTTTTCGGAAAGCTACTATTCAGCTAATAATAAGTCCCATAGAAATGTATTTGCAAATACACAAAAAAAACCGACAAACCGCAAGAAATCACAACAAGCAATTTTCTACAGAATAAATATTTTTTGTTAATCCTGTTAAGTGTAAAGAATATTTATGGTTCCATTTAAAGCTTAGTCATCTTAACATACTTAATCATAATAACCTGTTCTTTCGGCACAGAACCTATCCTTTTATGTGAAAACGATAAAGGTTGTATACAATATATATATGTGTACATATTTTATATATATATATACACAGAATTAGGAAGTGTTACTTTTTCCGTTACTTTGACGTTATTTTTTATAATAAACAATTTAATAGTGAGGGGGGGTTGTAATATTTTATAACTAAACTCTAAGATAATGTTAAGATTAGAAAAGTTGACTTTTCCAATCTTAGCGCAACTTTAGTATTTAGTTATAAAAAATTGCAACGTCATGTTTATTATAAAAAGCAGCGGAAAAGTAGCGAAAAAAGTATTCCCAATTCTGTAGACACACACACACACACACACACACACATTTTATATATATATATATATATATATATATATATATATATATATATATATATATATATATATATATATATATATATATATATATATATATATATATATATATATATATATATATATATATATATATATATATATATATATATATATATATATATATATATATACATATATGTATATAACGAGGAATACTATTTTTCGCCGCCTGAGATTTTATGTAGATTTTATATATTTGTAATGTAGAATCATAATAAAAGGTATGTACTGAGGTATGTACTGAGATCAGTCATTCAAAGTTATGGTAAATCGGTTATTTTTCAGTAAAAATCGGAAAATCTACAAACATCATAAGCAAAATAAAGTGAAACATCATCAATTTTGGTGTTCTTTATCCTTCTTATCTATCTATCTTAAGAGAAAAATTGTAAAATAGTTTTACCTAAAAAAATAAAACTATATTAAATTATCAATATTTACATAATAGTTGATATATTACTATAAAGAATCCATTAAACATAAAAATTCAGAAAAATTCTAATAGCATTTTATTTTTTGCAACTCTCAATGATTGAATATTTTCTTCAATCATATTGCTTTTCTCATATTTCCTCGAATGTAAATCCTACATAGAAAATGAAAAATTGAAATTTGGTTTGAAAATAAAATAAAATAAAATTTGATTTAAAAAATAATAAAATATCATCTGTTTTACTCTCTCTCTCTCTCTCTCTCTCTCTCATTCAAATTTTATCCAAAATTATGTACTATACAAATCTTATACCAATTTTATACCGAATAATATAATATATGTGTATTACATTATGTGGTATAAAATTCTTATGGAAAATACTTTATGTTTAATAAAAAAGGAAATTTTTCTTTTAAGATCACGATAAGAAGGACGAACAAATATCAGAATTAGTGATATCCACTCAATTTTTTTTTATGCTTATACGATATAGGTATTTGCAGATTTTTCGATTTTCATTGAAAAATAACGATTCACTACACTTTGAATGACTCTCTCGGTACATAACATGTTTTCTATATTGCAAATATTTAACAAAAAACACGAACCAGGCGGCAAAGAATAGTGTTACTCGTAAGAAGAAAATATTTTCTTTTAGAGAAGACCGTACTTTTCCCACGAGTATAAGTAGGCTTTATTGTCTCGAACTTGAATGATGATGCTTGTTTCTTATTGCACTGAAGAGAGAAAAATGTCAAAGTATTGCGAAATGATGCTTATGACTTTTTCTTCGATATTTATTGATTATGAAAAAATTTGATTATGATGATGAAATGTACAGTTCTGTGAAATATATTTCACTAATTGCAAAAAAATAATTAGATGGCTTATTTACTAGAAGTGAAATTTTATTTTGCCATATTTGAATAAATATTTATTTTAATGAAATAAATATATTTCTCACAAATAAATTTGTAAGTATCTTCTTCTCTCAATGTACTTGTTAATAATTATTTGGATCATTATTATCATTAGATAGTAAGTTTGTATTCTCATTTTATCTTTCTTCAGGATAAATATAATAATGCAATAGATGTCTATAAAACAAAAACATATCAACTAATAGAAGGAGAGAAACAGAATACGAAAGAAAATAAAATACAAAAAATTTAATCCATATATTTGTATAATAATAGATAATCTAACAACTTACATAAATCTTATAAATACATTATAAAAATGGCGTTTGTTTCGCAAAATCTCAAGTTTGTTAGCACGTCTCTCATTGTCAGTTGACAAACGACAGTTCAAGTCGAAAATGAAGTCGGTGACGCCAGGTGTACAAACGATGTTCTGCAACAAACGTCCCCATCATCTCCATATTCGGCAATGCTATGAAAATTGAAGCAAGTTTCGGCTGCTGTGAAGAATACAAATACAATTGTGCCATACACATATCTTTCCCCATGCCATGCCAATCCTGCGCTACAACTCTCACAGTGCTCGACGTGTAAGAACGTGCCAATCCTGTAGGAGGGCGTAGAGACGCGAGTATAACGCGTTGGATTATTTGTTTGCATACGCGGGGATGCACGTTTAGTTGCGGCTGCGCTCCCCACTATGCTGCGCGATCGCTCCGGATCCGCTTGCGCCTCGCAGCTCCGCAAGCTCGCTGCTCGCTGCTCGTTGCCGGCTGCCGGCTGCCGGCTGCCACCTCCGAAATCCCAACCAGCCTTCGCCGTGGCTCCGCATCGCTGACATTGTTTGCTGTCAAACATTGGATGCAAACACCGTGGTGGGGTCGAGCGGTATTGCCAGCGCGCTACCATCACGATTGGTCAGCGAACCCCTCGAGGTACGTCGCGTCGTTACTAGTGGGCGTATCCAAACGCCAGGTATAAATAGTATCCGTGGCGGGGAGAAATGGTCAGAAACGCGCGGTCTCTCGGTGAGAGCGTTTTAACGTTCATGTTGCTTCTCAGCTAGAGCTGAGAAGGGATAGGGCATAATAAATAACGAACGGTGTGCGTAAAAGGGAAAGAAATAAAACAAAGGTAAAAGAAAAGAAACGCAGAATTTTTCGGGATGTGTTGTGTACGAGTTGAACGAGGAGAAAATGTAGAAACGAAATAGAAATTGAGTGAACGTATACATGTGACGAGGTACGGTGCAATTGCGTGTCAATTGATTTGGAAGTGCGAGAGCGGAATACGGTGTTACGGCAAAAAAACGGCGTTCAAAATATGGTGAATATGGAGGGTTCGGGCGAGCAGCATACCGTGACAGCTTCGCCGCCGCCACGGGCTGCCCTGAAGAGCAACTTTAGCATCCGCAGTATCTTGCCTGAAGCGTGTGCCGGGACTCCCGCGCCGTCGGTCAGCCAGTCGGATTTGTCCGACATAGGTCCCGCCGACGACAGCGATGATTGCAGTGATCTCGATGTTACCGGTGGTGGTGCGGAAACGCCGCCCTTGGACTGTTCCACGAGCGCAACGTCCGTTAGTCCGATAAGCCAAAAGGATTCGAAAGAGCAGGCGGAGGATAAAAAGAAGGCGGAGAAACCACCATACAGTTATAACGCGCTAATCATGATGGCTATCCGACAAAGCCCCGAAAAGCGACTTACCCTGAATGGCATTTATGAATACATAATGCGCCACTTTCCGTACTACGAAAATAATAAGCAAGGCTGGCAGAACTCTATTCGGCACAATCTATCTCTGAACAAGTGTTTCGTCAAGGTACCTCGCCACTATGACGATCCGGGAAAAGGCAACTATTGGATGCTGGACCCAAGCTCCGAGGACGTGTTCATCGGGGGTGCTACGGGAAAACTTCGGCGTAGAACTACGGCGGCTTCCAGATCCCGACTGGCGGCCTTCAAGAGAAGCGTGGTACTCGGCGGTCTTTATCCGTCGCCTTACGCTCCGCCAGGATGGCCGGCGTCGCTCTACGCTCTACCTTCGTCGCTTTGTCTTCATCGCGCCGTTGCGTATCCTCCAGTGACCGCCGGCTCTTATACCACTCCCGCCGGGTATCCGGCCAGTTTGCTGCCAGGCGCGACTACATCATCGGCTGCAAGCTTGCCTTGCAAACCTCAACCTCTCCCAGCAACGGCGGCACCTCCGACTCATGGAGCGTTCTCCGTGGAAAGGTTACTGCAAGCACCTACTGGGTATCCCGGCGGCATCAGTATTCCGACGTCTGGAATCTCGCCTACGGGAAATCCTTATCAGGATTTCTATAGTACCCTACGATCTATTACGATACCACCGATACCAGCGTCGATATTCCATCAGCAATCCAGATATCATCTCGGTCAAACACCTCAAGTTCTAAGTCAACCTCCCTCTAGTACGGCTTCGCCTGGAAGTAGTCCGGAACCAATGGCTCCGCATTCGCCACCAGTTACCGTCTGCAATTCTGTCCAGCCGTCGAGACCGCTTCCTCACAGTCCGCCGCAACTCCTTCTAAAGCCCATCACGGTTCTCACTGGCCGACAAAGCTGAATTGAGATCTAATCGTAATCTTCAAACACGCCCATCTCCGAGAAGTGCAGCACGATCTCATACTCCCTGCATGTAAAAATTCTGTCATTTCGTCAAATCTTATAGATATAAATGTAGTCATTGAAACTCTTGATGAATTTAGCTGGACTAAATTTCTTCTGAAGTTTATAATTTTTTTTTTTTTTTAACAGCGTTTAGTTAAACTATTTCGCAACAAAGTTATAGCTATACATATATGAGAAATCTATTTCTCGAGAGGAATTTAAAATTAATCGATATGTTAAATAATATATAGTATTTAAAGGATGAAATCCTTTTGCGATTACAGTATTCTCGATGCTAATACCAGTGATTGTACTCAATTTGTATAATTGTCAATAATTGCGCGGTCGATTTGTACTTGAACTCGTCTCCTTGAATTTGTATATACTTTCTCTCGTACACGATACGTTGCTTCTCTTGTAAATATTATATCATGTCAAATGACAACATCGATAGAACATTATCAAAATGTGAATCTTGAGATTGAATCTCAACGACTTGCGAGACAGAAACAAGAATAGTATAATGTGACTTATAAATATATAGTTATACATATAGATAAAATTTTACTTGTGATCTCTCTTTTGTGGTCCTAGTATGTACAGCATTGATTAATCGATAATTATGTATAGCCGGATTTATAGATAATTATTCGTAACCTGTTATTACAATGTGTACATATAGAAATTATTGTTACTAAAAATATTACAAACATTATACATATATGTATATAGAGCTGAGATCTCGATAAGAATAAACATATATATATATATATATATATATATATATAAAATATGTCATAAAATAAATGTCCGGAACTTTTTAAAAATTACATGTCGCAATTAATATTTACCTTATGACGCACTGCGAGCATACTTCCCTACAATGTATTATATGTATAATTTATACGAAATTAAGATAGATTATCTTTTCAAAAATTAAAATTTCTCACAAATGTATCAATATTGTACATACAGTGTATTATGTGTATATGTGTATAGTGTGTATATATATATATATATATATACATATACGCATACATATATATGCACGATCTTTGTTTTTTATTTCATTTTCTATTGTGACTAAACCAATTAACAACTTTATATTAAACACCATTTTGTCAATAAAAATTATTTAAACTTATTGAAATCTTAAGCAACAATTGAGCAATAAATTATTCATACATGTGTTTTTATTAGTTATTTATTGTCTCTATGTGATATTAAATAATATTAGTATTATATATTCTTCTCGGAAATTCGACAATTCGATCAGAAGAAACAGATTTTCTTTCGAAATCGAGAAATTTTGCGTGTCATAACCGCTCGTAAAATTTAACAGGCAGAACCCGTCGAGTGTCAAAACAGTATATAAAGGTTTGACTCGTCTGAGAAACGAGGCACGCACACAATGACACAACGTTTAGAATTAGACAGACGTAGGTACGAGGCCACCGCTGCAAAATTACTTTAGTGCTGCAGTATAGCCATAAACACATCCAACGATGTCCTTTGCGATGTTTCCTTTTTGGCTTTTGACTTTGTAACCACTTTTTCTTAACGGGGATAAAAGGACAAAACCCCTCAAACATATAAATCTATATATATTTCTTCTCAAGATGCCAATAAAAAATGAGGAAAACAAAAAGATGAACTATTCTTCAGCAAAACATTTCTTGAATAGAATGTTATAGAATTTCTAGAAGATATTGATATATCGCATCTAAAAATATTACACTTTTAAATATCTACATATGAAAACATTTACAGTTATTTACAGTTATTAAAAGAAAAATTTGCATAGGTACAATTTTAAAACATGACTAAATTTAGAATTTTTGAATTTGAAATATTAAAAACTAGAAGTACAAGATCACGTTGTAATTATTATAATTTTCTTTCGAGTTTTTTCACAGGCTAGGTTTACTAAAATATAAAAAAGAATAGAATCAATTGTAAAGCGTTAGTTCTCATAAGCGCAGTACATTCACGTGCACTCTGATGACAGTCCAGGAGCGTGTTGCCGCTCGGTACGAGCAGACGCGATATTGGTATGATACATTGAGACAATGAGGCATAAATAAGATAATGGCGCGCGCTCGCGTATGTCTAACCAGAGTTTAAACGTCCAAAGGGCCGAAGAGAAAACGAGGGAGAAAAAGAGACCGGTTAGGATCAGCAGATGGGATTGTAACCCGCGCGGCCTGCCTCTTATACTTTCGAGTAACTAACGCAGCAGTTTTGCTTAATGCGAATCTTATTAAACTCTCGCATCCCTTTAATTTTTCCTCATATAAAAAAATGACTTTTTCGTTACTTTCCTCCCTCACTTCCTCCCCTCTCTCTCTCTCTCCCTCTCTCTCTCTCGATTTGTTTATTTGAATTAATTGTCAAAATAACAATGAAAAAACATTAATGTTTTATTTCAATCAAGAGGATTAAAATTGTGAATACGCTAACAATAAGTATTTAACATGATTTATACACATTGGTGACTTTTGCAAAATATTAACAAACATTCCTTTAGATTCATGGATCACAGTAAAACAGTTTTTGTATTCTGAAGAAACTGCTGACACTTTTGCATATTTCAATTAAATGTGCACAAAATGAAGTATTGCATTATCAAAATTATAAAAAATTAAGTTATATTATTGCAATTACAACTCATTGTGAAACAACGAACGACATGTTTAAAGTAAAGCGAAATCGCGTCGCATAGCGTCACGTAGCTCGAAGGGGACGGTAAACACTTACGTGGTCAATTGCTACAAGTGGCAAGTTGTCTACAGCACGCATGTTGTTGCTCCTCTACGTATTGCATAGGTGCTCAATATCGTTACAAATATTGGTTTCTACGCAATGTGATTAGCGAATGATTGCTTCGCATCACGCTTTACAGAGTTTTTGCATATTGTATACATTTGAGATCAATTATATATGTATATAATTCACATAAATAAGTCATAAAATAAATTAAAATCATTCAAATTGTATATTATACTTACAGAATATTTAGTATAATAAAATAATAATTATATATGTATATACACGTGTATATATGTGTGTATATATATATATATATATATATAGTATATGTAGATATATATACATATATTGTACAAAGATAAAATTATTTCTTTTTCTGAATGCAGTTCAATAATGAAATAGCTAAATATTGCTTATTGTTGATTTATTATTACTTGACTACTATTGTTTTTAATGTATTAATTTATGAGTCTACTCTTTCTAGGCTATTTCCTAATAACTAAAATTTCTTAAATAATGTACAAAAAAGATTTAATAATTTTACACAAGTCTAATTTATTAAAACTAGTTATTTGTTAACGTTTGTAAATTTCAGACATTTGTTGCCATTTATTTAAAAATTTTGTCGCAGACGTTATATATATTTAAACATTAATGTTGCTTGCGGCGAGAATTATACGTGCAAAGCGCATAAAGTTCATAAGTGTTCCTAGTGTTTTAGTAAGTAGTCGGTAACTCGCTGAATTACTTTGCGCTATTACATTATTGTCGATGTCGTCAGCTTTATTCGCAAACATGCCTGCAATGATCGCCTGCAATGACGTAAAGTCTTTAAAATCATTCGTGGAACTATTTGGATTCAATTATTTAGTATCTGGTTCGATCATATATCATTAGTTCTTATTACGGCGTTACTCCACGATACTAGCCTCTACTCTATTTACACATTTTTGTTTCCTGATTTCGCTATTTTATTATTCGTGACTTTACATTAATACAATATATAAATAAATATATGTATAATCTACTATACATATATATCTAAATTCTATTACTATATTATGTTGATAATTAAATTAAATAACGACAGATTAGATATTTAGAAACTATTTGCTCCTCTATATCTAAAGTATTCTAGAAACGTGCTGCGAAACTTAATAAAAAAGGGTTTTTATAATAAAATTTTTAAGCTTCTTGCGTCTTGTACTTAAGTAAACATTTTACGCATATGTTTGTAAAGTAGAGCAATGAAAGTATTGATCGTTTATGATTAAATTTAAAAAAAGTATCCTTTTTTGTATACTTTAAGCAAAAATTTAGATCATAGCCTATCTTATGGCCTATCTACGATTATTTTGACATCGCCATCTTGCTTATTTACAGAGGGGTTCTCTAACATCTCGATCTCGACAACCAGTCACGACTCTCGTTTCTCTGGCATACACGCACGTAGCTATGAATGGATGGTATGCGCGCGTATGCGTGCACACGGGGTGGCGTGTCAATAGATTTGGTGGCGGTGCGTTACATTATTTTCATCGCTTTATATCACGTGAGACGAGGTGGGGTGAATGGAGGGGAAAGAGGTTGGAGTAGATAGTCATTCGAAGTCTACAGACACTGATGTCGATGTCGAAGGAGAGGGAAGACTGGTTTCGTTTCGATATATGAGACTCACCCTTGCGCAAAGCTCAGCTCCGGGGGTGAAGCTGGTTTCTAGCCTATAGGGATGTATTCCAAATGCAATGGTGGTTAATCTGCGGTCTCTACCAAACATGCTTCGATCTCGCTAGTCGTTGTACGTTATTCAGATCGTTAAGTTTTGTTCGAACGATCGAAGCGAATATCTCGCAACAGAACAGATCATACATCGATTTGAATCAGAGTTTGTATACAAGTGTTTTTTTTTAATACATTTTCTTTATATTCTCAGCTCCCTAATCGATGTTTTTGTAATTAAATTATTTAAAAATATTGCTTTACTCGTGATATAAGTGACACATGCGATCATGCAAGAGTCGGTTTGCGATTTTTAATTCAAATCATAAAACGACATTGAATATTCAAGTTTTAATCTACAGTGAATATAATTGTCAATAGTAATACAGGTCTGCAACATGAGAGTTTAAGTTTTTTTTAAGATATATACATATTAGTGACTTCCCATGTATTTTTTTTTTTTTGCGTGCTGAATTCGAATGTGACCACAGAATTTGCGTATAGCATGTTAAATTTTCAAAATAAATTGGATTATATGTTAAAAAAAATCACATTTTTGGCTATTTTCACAACTGCATTAAAAAATTACCAAAACTTAATTAAAATTTTTTCAATAAGAATTTTGTTTTAAGACCGTATATGTGAGAAAATTTTTATCAACAATATTTTTAAGTCAAGATATACCTAATAGTTGGGAACGCAGGTCATGCCTTAAAGTTGTATTCCCACTTGTTCAAGAAATTATGGTTAATGTCAGTTTTTGAAATTGTACTCTTACTCTGTTAATATATATTTTATCTTAATTTATTTGAGATATAGCTTTTTAGGGATTAGCTAACTTTTTGGTTTTTAACGCTAACCACCCTCTCATATTAATTAGATGTGTTCAATGGTTTCTTTTAAAATATTTAGCCTATGTCTTGAAAATTATATTATTAGATGTATTCTAAGGGAAAATTCGGCACACAAAAGATTATGATTGTTACAAGAGAAAATGCTCAATATTTAATGTGATTACGCTATCAATTTATAATGGATTTTGAAGGGAAAGAATAATACTTTACGATGACGTTGGTAAAAATTTTGATAAAGCTTTGGTGATTTTTTAATACAGCCATGAAAATGACCAAAAATGTCATTTTTTCGATATAAAGTCAAATTTACATATGTGTATATCTCGAAAGCTTGACGTGCTACGCAAATTCTGTAATATTCGGATTCAGCGCACAAAAATAGAAA